ACCTCACTATCCCTGTCATCATTAGCTAAATCATTAGCTGTGTGTTAAGCAGTCTAGCAGCTAATGTGTGCTGGGCCCTGCAATGAACAGCCTGCCCTTAGGCATTCCTATACTCTAGTACCTTTAGCCTAGTGCCAGTGGCTACTTAGGAAGGTGACATCTGAACATAATTAGTCAAAGCTAGCTTGGGCAAGGTCATCTGTGAGCTGCTTCTTCTTCTTCTTCTTCTTCTTCTTTTCTTCTTCTTCTTCTTCTTCTTCTTCTTCTTCTTCTTCTTCTTCTTCTTCTTCTTCTTCTTCTTCCCCTTCCCCTTCCCCTTCCCCTTCCCCTTCCCCTTCCCCTTCCTCCTCCTCCTCCTCCTCCTCCTCCTCCTCCTCCTCCTCCTCCTCCTCCTCCTCCTCCTCCTCCTCCTCCTCCTCCTCCTCCTCCTCCTCCTCCTCCTCCTCCTCCTCCTCCTCCTCCTCCTCCTCCTCCTCCTCCTCCTTCTTCTTCTTCCTTCTTCTTCTTCTTCTTCTTCTTCTTCTTCTTCTTCTTCCTCTTCCTTCTTCTTCTTCTTCTTCTTCCTTCTTCTTCTTCTTCTTCTTCTTCTTCTTCTTCTTCTTCTTCTTCTTCCTCTTCCTTCTTCTTCTTCTTCCTTCTTCTTTTTTGTGGAGGACTGTTGTGGAGCTTGAACTCAGGGCCTGGTCTCTGTCCCTGAGCTTTTTTTGCCCAAGCTGTGCTCTACCACTTTGAGCCACAGCTTCACTTCTGGTAAGGAGAGACTTTAGAATGATTTTTTTTTTTTTTTTTTTTGTCGGTTGTGGGTCTTGAACTCTGTGCCTAGGCACAGTCTCTTAGCTCTTCAGCTCAAGGAGCACACTCTACCACTTGAGCTACAGCACCACTTCTGGTTTTCTGGTAGTTAATTGGAGATAAGAGTCTCACAGACTTTCTTGCCTGGGCTGGCTTTGAACTGAGATCCTCGGATTTCAGCCTCCTGAGTAGCTAGGATTACAGGCGTGAGCCACAGGTGCTCGGCTTTAGAATGAATTATTTTAAAGGAGGACAAGAACTATCCTGACTAGCAGTCTGGGAGAATAACATAGTCCTTATCCTCCTAGTTTCACATTGACCATGAGATCTTTCAGAATCACAAGGGCTAGGCAAAAAAAGAAAAAAAAAAGAATAAACAGGTTAAAAAGAATTTGGTGTGCTGTTGGCTCACACATGTGATTCTAGCTACTAGAGAGGCTGAGATCTGAGGAATCAAGGTTCAAACTCAGCCTGGGCAAGAAAGTTTGTGATACTCTTATCTCCAATAAACTACTCAGAAAAAGCCAGAAGTGGCAAAAGAAGATCAGAGACACCGCATAGGCTCTGAGTTCAAACCCCAGGACTGGAATGAAGAAAAAAACGAGTAAGGGGGATAAAGTCAGTAGATTGGAGAAAGTTGTGCCCTGAAGCCAGCCTATTCTCAGGAGGAGTGGATAAGGAGGAACTGTGTGTTGATGCTAGCAAAAGCTGAGTGTGGACCAAAGTTCAAGGACTCAAGGGAATGAAAAGCTAAACCAAAATTTGGTTAATAAGGATTCTGTTTTGATGGATCATTGAGGACAAGAGGTTCATCTAAGCTTGGGGTCTGTATGGTGGTACACACTTGTCTTCCTACCTATGTAGGAAGAAGCAAAGGAGTCCAAGGACTGGACAAAAGTACCCTACCTGGCAGGGTGCCGTGGCTCATGCTTATAGTCCTAGGTACTCAGGAGGCTGAGATCTGAGGATCACAGTTCAAAGCTAGCCCAGGCAGGAAACTCTGTGAGACTCTTTCTTTTTTTCTTTTTTCTTTTTGGGAGTCATGGGGCTTGAACTCTGGGCCTGGTCACTGTCCCTCAGCTCTTCAGCTCAAGGCTGGCATTCTGCCACTTGAGCCACAGTGCCACTTGCGGCTTTTTTCTGCTTATGTGGTACTGAGGAATCAAACTCAGGGCCTCATGCATACAAGACAAGCACTCTACCACTGAGCCAACTTCCCAGCCCCAAGATTCTTTTTTTTTTGGGGGGGGGGGTCCAGTCGTGGGGCCTGAACTCTGGGCCTGGGCGCTGTCCCTCAGCTCTTCAGCTCAAGGCAGCACTCTACCACTTGAGCCACAGAGCCACTTCTGGCTTTTTTTTCCTGCTTATGTGGTGCTGAGGAATCGAACCCAGGGCCTCAGGCATGCAAGGCAAGCGCTCTACCACTGAGCCACCTTCTCAGCTCCCCAAGACTCTTATCTCCAATAAACCACTAGAAAACCAGAAGTGGAGCTGTGGCTGAAGAAGTAGAATGTTAGCCTTGAGCTGAAGAGCTGAGGGACAGTGCCCAGGCCCAGAGTTCAAGCTCCATGACCAATTAAAAAGAAATGAAAGCACAAATGGCTAGGAGTGTTGCTAGAGCACGTTCAAGGACATGGCACAAACTCCAGTACCCCTCCACACACAAAAAGAAGTTCAGGGCTGGGAAGGTGGCTCAGTGGTAAAGTGCTTGCCTTGCATGCATGAGGTCCTGGGTTCGATTCTTCAGTAAAACATAAGCAGAAAAAAAGCCAGAAATAGCCCTGTAGTTGAAGTGGTAGAACGCCAGCCTTGAGCTGAAGAGCTGAGAGACAGTGCCCAGGCTGAGTTCAGACCCCACAACTGACTAAAAACAAAGCAAAACAACAACAACAAAAAATTCAGCTAAGCTTTTATGAAGGAAGGAATTGGAATTTGGAACCTGTGTTAAACCTGATCACAGGTAAGCTAGAGGCATCCATGAGTCTTACAAGTCAGATGGGGAAGGATGTTTCTATGAAGTAAACTGTGTTTCAGAACATAAGAAGGAATCTTCACTATTTCCAGGATGGTATAGCTCTGGTCATGTTCTACACTGTCAGTTCATATCCTGATAAGAAAGTACAAGAATTTGGAGCCGGGCGCCGGTGGTTCACACCTGTAATCCTAGCTACTCAGGATGCTGAGATCTGAGGATTGAGGTTCAAAGCCAGCCCAGGCAGGGAAGTCCATGAAACTCTTATCTCCAATAAACCACCGGAAAACCAGAAGTGGCACTGTAGTCCAAGTGGTAGTGCTAACCTTGAGCTGAAGAGCTGAGGGACAGTGTTCAGGCCCAGAGTTCAAGCCCCATGACCGACAAAAAAAAAAAAAAAAAGAATTTGGTTTCTGTGTACGTGGTACTGGGGTGTGGACTGCCATTCTAACACTTGACCCACATCTTCACTTCTACTTTCCAGCAGAAGAAAGTAGAAGTAAATGAAGGTGTCTTTGGGTTTGTTCAGACTAGCTTTGAATCTGGATCTACAGGAGTGAGCCACAGGTGCCCAAATTGGCCTTTTTTTTTTTTTGGTCGGTCGTGGGGCCTGAACTCTGGGCCTGGGCGCTGTCCCTCAGCTCTTTAGCTTAAGGCTAGCACTCTACAAATTGAGCTACAGCGCCACTTCCGGCTTTTTTCTTTTTGCTTATGTGGTGCTGAGGAATCGAACCCAGGCTTCATACATGCAAAGCAAGCGCTCTACCACCGAGCCACCTTCCCAGCCCAGGACTGATTTTTTTTTTTGTCTGTCGTGGGGCCTGGGCGTTGTCCCTCAGCTCTTCAGCTCTACACTAGGCACTGTGCCACTTCCAGTTTTCTGAGTGGTTCATTGGAGATAAGAGTCTCAGCTGGGGGCTCGCCTTGAGCTGAAGAGCTGAGGGACAGCGCCTAGGCCCAGAGTTCAAGCCCCACAACCGACAAAAAAAAAAAAAAAGAGTCTCAGCTGGGGGGCTGGGAAGGTGGCTCAGTGGTAGAGTGCTTGTCTTGCAGGCATGAGGCCCTTGGTTTGATTCCTCAGCACCACATAAGCAAAAAGAAAAAAAGCCAGAAGTAGTGCTGTGGCTCAAGTGGTAGAGCACTAGCGTTGAGCTGAAGAGCTGAGGGACAGCACCCAGGCCCAGAGTTCAGGCCCCACAACCAGACCCAAAAAAAAAAAAAAAAAGGCTCAGCTGGGTGCCTGTGGCTCACACCTCTAATCCTAGCTACTCAGGAGGCTGAGATCTGAGGATCTCGGTTCAAAGCCAGCCCAGGAAGGAAAGTCTGTGAGACTTTTATCTCCAATAAACCACTAGAAAACTGGAAGTGGAGCTGTGGCTCAAGTAGTAGAGTGCTTGCCTTGAGCTGTATAGCGCCCAAACCCAGAGTTCAAGACCCATGACTGACATCGCCCCCCCCCCCGCCCCGCCCCCCCCCGCAAAAAAAAAAAAAAAAAAAGAGTCTTAGGGCCTTTCCTGCCTGGGCTGGCTTTGAACTGTGATCCTCAGATCTCAGCCTCCCGAGTAGCTAAGATTACAGGTGTGAGCCCCCGGTACCTGGCTAGGAGGACTGATTTTTAAGAGACCATTAACAACTAGTGTGTGTGTGTGCTGGTCATGGGGGCTAAGGCACTGCCCCTGACCTCTTTTGCTCAATGCTAGCACTTTACCACTCTGAACCACAGCTCCACTCTGGTTTTTGAGTGGTTAGTTGGAGATAAAAGTCTCACAGGCACAGCCCGGCGCCGGTGGCTCACACCTGTAATCCTAGCTACTCAGGAGGCTGAGATCTGAGGCTCAAGGTTCAAAGCCAGCCCGGGCAGAAAAGGCCATGAGACTGCTATCTCCAATAAGCCATCAGAAAACCAGAAGTGGCGCAGTGGCTCAGTGGTAGAGCGCTCGCCTTGAGCTGAAGAACGCAGGGACAGCGCCCAGGCCCAGAGTCCAGAACCCATGACCGACAAAAACAAAAACAACAAAAGCCCTGTGGAGTTCCGGAAGCTGAGACCTGAGGGTTCGAGGCCGGTCCCGGCAGTAATTAACCACCAAAAAGCCGGAAGTAGAGCTGTGGCTCAAGTGGAAGAGCGCTAGTCTGGGGCACAGGGAGGCTCCAGGGCCGCCCCGCCCCCTCCAAATGGAGGCCAGAACGGCGCGCGGTGTTCTCGCGAGAGCGCCAGCAGATCACATGATCGTCCATGATGGCGACGCCCAGCGAGGTGGAGGAAGAGGCTACGGTTTACCTAGTCGTGACGGGCATCCCCTCCGCATTACGATCGGCTCAACTACGGAGCTACTTCAGCCAGTTCCGAGAGCAGCGCGGCGCGGGCTTCCTCTGCTTCCACTACCGGCACCGGCCCGAGGGGGCCCCTGCCCAGGCCTCTGAGGCGGGCCTCCCTTCCAGCGACCCCGCCGCCGAGAGCCAGGACCTCGCCCAGACCACGGCCGCCGCTCCGCGCGCGCGCTCCGCGCGGAACTCTGCCCGCGGCCAGACCCGCACCTGCTGCTGCGTCATCTCTGTACGGGGACTGGCCCTGGCCCGGAAGCTTGTTCGCATGTACTCAGGCCGCCGGTGGCTAGATTCTCAAGGGACTTGGCTTCCTGGACGCTGTCACATCCACAGACTTAGGCTACCCACTGAGGCATCAGGTATGAGGAAATAAAGATAACGAGCTGGGCCTAAGGGCCCCGGGACAGTGGCACTCTTCCTGAAAAAAGTCAGGCCTCTGGTTATGACTTTGCAAGCTTCGATCGTTTGTGGACTGAGTTTCAGGTTCAACTAGTACTTCCGTTTATTTCTGGGTGGAGGGAGACCTAGTCAGATAATCTTTCGTTATCCAATTTACTTGAACCCTTCAGAGACCCTTTTCTCTGAGGAGACGATTTTTTGCACTGACACAGAAGGAAAAAAAGGAAATTAGTGTTTCTATTAGCCTAAAATGAACATCAGAGAGACCAACACTCAAGAAAGAGTTTAGGAGTGAAAAAAAAGATTTCATTTGCCTTGGGGATACATGTGCCATGGTGGACCATAGAGGAGGCCTAAGTGTATCCAGGGAGGTAAAGTAAGGCAGGAACTTTAAGAGACAAAATGAAATTTGAATAAGTTGTTTGGAAACACTTACTCTTGACTACAAGGATCAATAACAAGGGTGGCATAGGTTCAAGGTTGAACAGGCAGTTGCTGGGCAAGTGAACTCATAAAAGTAGTTTTTGTACAAGGTTGTGGTTGCATTTATGCAAGCTTGTGGTTTGGAGCAGTCTTTGGGATAATGATTTTTGGATTTGTTGTTGTTTGTGTGGGGGTGTGTTTGTGTGTGTGTACTGGTCCTAGGACTTTAACTCAAAGACTGGGCATTATCCCTGATCTTTTTTGCTAAAGAGCAGTACCCAGGCCCTGAGTTCAAACCCCAGTATTGACGCATACACACATACGTGCATGCGCGCACACACACACACACACACACACACACACACACACACACACACACACACACACACACACACACACACACACACACACACACACACACACACACACACACACACCCCAGCAGGAGCCAAATCAAGAAGAAATTTGTGTGCTCAGCCACAGTGGTGATCAATGGCATGTAATTGCCAGGGGGCTCTGACAGGAAGAGAGGAGGGACTCTGGAGAAGTTATAATATTAGGACAACAGCTTTAAACTATGATTTCTGGCCCAAAGTGTTACTTCCAGTTTTGGTTTTCAAAACCCATTCTTCTCTCTTCTTCCTAAGGTTTGGACTCCTTTCCCTTTAAATCCAGGAAGGAACTGCAGAGTCGGAAAGCTGAGAATGAAGCCTTCTCTCTCACTGACCTTAGACAACTCCCGGAGCTGAACCCACCAGTGCTGATGCCCAATGGGAATGTGGGGACTCCCTTGAGGGTCTTTTTAGAATTGATTCGGGCCTGCCGCCTACCACCACGAATTATCACCCAGCTGCAGCTCCAGTTCCCCAAGACAGGCTCTTCCCGGCGATATGGCAATGTGCCCTTCACGTATGAGGAATCTGAGACAGTGGAACAGGAAGAGCATGTGTACACAGCAGAGGGCGAGGAAATACCCCAGGGGACCTGCTTGATAGATGCACCAGCTAGTGTCAGTGAAGAGACTGCGGATGAAGGAGAAAGAGAGGAGAAAGAAGAGTCTCACTCAGATGATGTGAGTATAGTGCACCATCCTGTCCTTCCTGGCAGCTTAAAGAGGGTATTAATAATACTCTCTTCCATTGTATATTAAGAGATTTCTTAGTCTGAGCGCCTCAGGAGGGCTTCAGGGAGCAGGAGAACTGCCTGATACTGAATGTAAAACTGTATTTGCATGTGCATTTCTTCTTCTTCTTCTTCTTCTTCTTCTTCTTCTTTTTTGGAGGAGAAGGCAGGAAGGGGGAAAAATCCAGAGTTTTTAGCAGAAGATTCTATAGTAGAACCTCTTTTCATTTACTCAGAAAGGATGGGAAGAGGGGATATAGGGTTCCTTTTCTTTTCTTTTTTTTTGGTTGTGGGGCTTGAACTTTGGTCCTGGGTGCTGTCCCTCAGCTCTTCTGTTTATGTGGTGCTGAGGAATTGAACCCAGGGCCTCATACATGCAAGGCAAGCACTCTACCACTGAGTCCCTTTCCCAGCCCTAAGGGTTCCTTTTCATAGATGAAAACATAATGACCAAGAGTTGTACAGGCTGGGTGCTACTGGCTCCTGCCTATAATGTTAGCTACTTAAGAGGCTGTGGATCCCAGTTTGAAGCCAAACCAGGCAGACAAATCAAAGAGGATCTTATTTCTAATTAACCAGCAAAAAAGCCAGAAGTAGAGGTGTGGCTCAAGTGATAGAGCTCCTTACTTGAGTAAAAAAGCCAAGTAAGGATACAAGGCCCTGAGTTCAAGCCCTAGTTCCAGCGCACGTATGCGTACACACACCCACACACAAAGAGCTGTGGGCCAGGAGCCAGTGGTTCATACTTGTCCCTAGCTATTCAAGAGGCTGAGATCTGAGGATTGTAATTTGAAGCTAGCCTGGGAAAGAAAGTCTGTAAGATCCTATCTGTAATTAACCTCCAAAAAGCTGGAAGTAGACCTCTGGTTCAAGTGATAGAGCATTAGCCTTGAGCAAAAAATCTCAAGGATAGTACCCAGGTCCTGAGTTCAAGCCCTAGGATTGGTACAAAGAGTGAGAAAAAGGTTACACAGCAATTTGTCTAAGATCATCTAAGAAAGTAGAGACATGGAACCCAGTTCCCAACCGCTTCTCCAATGCAATTTCATCCTGTGCCTAGCAGCAGTCTCCTCAGAATTCCAGCCTTGATTCAATGGATTGAACACCAGCCTCCAGTCTTGACATTGTTAGTGTAATAGACATTTTGTAGACTCCTTTCTCCAGATGTGGTTGTTCATCCATAAAAACAAGGAAGGTGGAAGCGAGGTGCTGGTAGTTCACACCTGTAATCCTAGCTACTTAGGAGGCTGAGATATCAAGATGGCTGTTCAAAGCCAGCTTGGCCAGGAAAGTCTGTAAGATTCTTATCCTCCAATTAAGCACCAGAAACCTGGAAGTGGAGCTGTGGCGCAAAGTGGTAGAGTGCTAGCCTTGAGCAAAAGGAGCTCAGGCACAGTGCCCAAGCCCAACAAAAAAATTTTAAAAGGAAGGTAGAATTTGTTAGGAAAACTGTTTTGCTTGTTTTGGTTTTATTTGTACTCTGGGTCAAAAGCAAGGTACCCCCCATGGACTGAGAATCTGGCTTAGTGGTGAAGTGCTTGCCTAGCATTCATGAGGCCCTGGGTTTAATTCCTCAGTACCATATAAACAGAAAAAACCAGAAGTGGTGCTGTAGCTTAAGTGGTAGAGTGCTAGCCTTGAGCAAAAGAAACTCAGGGACAGTGTCCAGGCCCTGAGTTCAAGTCCCAGGACTGGCAAAAAAAAAAAAAAGTAAGGCACTCATGCTTCAAAGCACCCAGCTTAGCATTGCTCCAATATCAGCTCACAACCTTAGTGTGTCATTGTTCTATGTTTTTGTTTTGTTTTTGTCAGTCATGGGGCCTGAACTCTGAGCCTGGGTGCTGTCCCTCAGCTCTTCAGCTCAAGGTTAGTGCTATACCACTTGAGCCACAGCGCTACTTCCGGCTTTTTCTGCTTATGTGGTGCTGAGGAATCAAACCCAGGGCCTCATGCCTGCGACTGAGCCACCTTCCCAGCCCCATTGTGGCACTCTTCTGACTTGTTTTACAGTGTTGATTCTAGTGATGTGCTGTAGTTTGACCAGGACAGGGGCTTATCCTGCATTCTGCAAGCCTAGTCAGTGCTTGTACACGAGGGACTAGTGCATAATTCCAAAGATATTCTACAATCCATTTACTTGCCTTCAGAGAGCTTACAATCTTGGAGAGAACCAGCATCTGGAAAGGCCACACTGGATTTGTATTCTGGCTCTGCTATACTCTTAGTGTATTATTATAGGAAAATCACTTTACTCTTCTGAGCCTAGGTTTCCTCATCTGGAGAATGGGAATAATAAAGTTAGCTCACAAGGTCACTGGGATGATGAATGGAATTGAGTTACAGAAAGGGTCTGAGCCAGGCATCGGTGGCTCATGCCTGTAATCCTAGCCACTCAGGAGGCTGAGATCTGAAGATCACGGTTCAAAGCCCAGCCTGGGCAGGAAAATCTATGAGACTCTTATCTCCAATAAATCACCAGAAAACCAGAAATGGTGCTGTGGCTCAAGTGGTATAGCACTAGCCTTGAGCCGAAGAGCTGAAGGACAGAGTCCAGGCCCAGAGTTCAAGCCCCACGACCTACAAAAAAAGAAAAAAGAGAAAAAGAAAGAGTCTGACACACAGGCAATGCTAGTGTGTTAGTTCTTGTCCTTTCTTTGTAATATATAAAGGCCTAACGTGTGCTCAGAGACCATGAGAGTGCATGAGCCTAAGTGGGAGGGTTTCATGTGAGCTGCAGGAGGAAGATTTAACCAAGTGAAGAAGCAAAGGATGTGGGAGGAAGGCACAAAGTTCATGCAGGGAAACTAACACACGTCAAAAGCAGAGCTAAGAGCGATCAGCCTTGAGGGTGGGGGCCAGAGAGAAGCACATGTTGAGAAGTGTAAAGGGTGTGTTGAGTAAGGTTCTCAGGTTTACATATGCACTATTTCTAGAGAAACCTGAAGGCATGGGGTTGAGAGCCCTATCTCATCCTCCTGTGCTTCTAAGCCTTGAAATCAGGAAGCTGGATAAACAGGTCCCCTTTCCACACTTCTCCCAGGATGATGACCGGGGTGAGGAGTGGGAGCGGCACGAAGCACTGCATGATGACGTGACCAGGCAGGAGCGGACCACCGAGCGGCTCTTTGAAGAGGAGATTGAGCTTAAGTGGGAGAAGGGAGGCTCTGGCCTGGTGTTCTACACTGATGCCCAGTTCTGGCAAGAGGAAGAAGGAGGTAAGGCTCTGGGTTGTTCAGCTATCTCTTATTGTAACAAATACTTGAGATAAATGAACTTCTAAAGAGAAGAGGTTTAAGCCAAACCAGTAATCCCAGCACTTGGGAGGTGGAGGCAGAATGAATGATAGTTTAAGACCAGCCTGCTACAAAAGGAGACTCCGTCTCAAGAAAAAGAAAAGAAAAGAATAAAGGAAACCAGATGCCAGTGCCTCACAATTGTAATTCTAGCTACTCAGGAGACAGATCCGAGGATCAGGGTTTGAAGTCAACCTAGCAGGAAAGTCCATGAGACTTTTATCTCCAATTAACCACCAAAAAGCTGGAAGTGTAGCTGTGGCTTAATTGGTAAAATGCCAGTCTTGAGTGGAAAAGCTAAGAGACATTGCCCATAACCTGAGTTCAAGCCTCAGGACTGAGAAGGAAGGACAAAAGGAATGTAGGAAGGAAAAAAGTAGAAAGGAAAAAAGGTAGGAAGGAAGGAAAGCAGTTAGGCAGGCAAGGAAGGAAGGAAGGCAAGAAAGAAGGAAGGAAGGGAAATGGTGCTGTGGCTCAAGTGGTAGAGTGCTAGCCTTGAGCTGAAGAGCTCAGGAACAGCGCCCAGGCCCAGAGTTCAAGCCCCACAACTGACCAAAAAAAAAAAGAAGAAGAAGAGAAGAAGCTGGGCACGGGTGCCTCATGCCTGTAATCCTAGCTACTTAGCTAGGAGGCTGAGATCTGAGGATCATGGTTCAAAGCCAGCCCAGGCCAGGTGCCAGTGGCTCAGGCCTGTAATCCTATCTACTCTGGAAGCTGAGATCTGAGGAACACGGTTCAAAGCCAGCCTGGGCAGGAAAGTCCGTGAGACTCTTATCTCCAATAAACCATTCAGAAAACTGGAAGTGGTGCTGTGGCTGAAGTGGTAGAGTTTTAGCCTTGAGCTGAACAGCTCAAGGACAGCACCCAGGCCCAGAGTTCAAGGCCCATGACTGACCAAAAAGAAGAAAAAGAAAAGAAAGAAAGAAGGAAGGAAAAAAGGGAGGTTGCTACAAGTGTGACTCAAGTGGTAGTACTCTTGCCCAGCAAATAGGAAGCCCTAAGTTCAATCCCTACCCCTTAACTGCTGCCCAAAAGCCTTTGTCCAGGGCATGGTGAGAGTGGCAGAGCATGTGCCTAGCATGTGAGAAGCTCTGAGCTCATTCCCCAGCTCCTTAGGGAAAAGAAGAAAAGAGAGAGAAAAAAAGATTTATTTGGGCAAATAGTTTAAGAAATCTCAGTCCATGGTCAGCCCAGTTTTGTTTTGTTTTTGGTGCGCAGGCTGGCTTTGAACAGTAATTTTCAGAGCTCAGCTAGGATAACAAAAGTGAGCCACCAATGCATGCCCAGTTGTTTTGGGGCTTATGATGAGGTAGCACATTGTGGTAAGAGCTCAGGAAACCAATTTACCTTGTTGATAAGAGACAGAGAGGAGGGTCTAGGAAGGTGGCTCAGTGGTAGAGTGCTTGCCTTGCATGCATGAGGCCCTGTTCCATTCCTCAGCTCCACATAAGCAGAAAAAGCCCAAAGTGGTGCTGTGGCTCAAGTGGTAGTATGCTAGCCTTGAGCTGAAGAGCTGAGGGACAGTGCCCAGGCCCAGAGTTCAGGCCCACGACCGGCAGATAAAAGGAAAAAGAGAAATAGGGAGGAAAAGACCAAAGTCCTACAGACCCTTTTAAGGGCATGTCTCCAGTATCCTAAAACCTCCCACTAGGCCCACTTCATTTCTCTCACCTCTCAGCTGTGCCATGCTAGGACTGAGCCTTTAACGTATGGGAGTCTGGGGGCTGTTTTAATGTGCAAATTAAAGCGGGCTGGGATCAAGGTTAGGACAGGGATGATCCCTATTGCATTATCTCTGGGTTTTCTACTCTACTCAGTTTATTTCCTGATAATGAGTCCAAATAGAAAGCTAGGAAAGCTGGAAGATGGTAGTTCATTCCTGTAATCTTAGCTATTCAGGAGGCTGAGACCTAGAGGACCATTGTTTGAAGCCAGCCCAAGCAGAAAAGTCCAAGAGACTCCTATTTCCACTAAAAGCCAGGCTGAATACATGGCTATAGTGGTGGAATGCCAGCAGAACAAGCAAGCTGAGAAGTTTGAAGCCCTGAGTTCAAACTCTAGTACCACCAGAAAAAGTAAATAAATAAAGCTAGGGAAGGCTTGCCTTTATTGTATATGAGACACCACTGATCCTACTACATAATAAGGAATCAGTAAGATGGACAGAAAAGCCATATCTGCACTCTAATTCTAAATAATCCCAGAGAACACTTGAAAATACAAATCAAAACACCAGGTTCTATACATAGTGTCTAACTCTACATTTCACTCTCAACAGAACTCTGAGTCCTTAACCCACTCTGCAATATGTTTATATCCTGCAGACTTTGATGAGCAGACAGCTGATGACTGGGATGTGGATATGAGCATATACTACGACAGAGGTACTGGACTGGGGTAGAACTGGTATACTGCCCTATGAGGACACTTTGCCAGATAGGCTTATCAGAGGCCAAAAGAGGACCAGTTCCTGGGCTGGGAAGGTGGCTCAGTGGTAGAGTGCTTGCCTTGCATGCATGAGGCCCTGGGTTCAATTCCTCAGCACCACATAAGCAAAAAAAAAAAAAAAGCTGGAAGTGGCGCTGTGGCTCAAGTGGTAGAGTGCTAGCCTTGAGCTGAAGAGCTGAGGGACAGCACCCAGGCCCAGAGTTCAAGCCCCATGACCGGACCCAAAAAAAAAAAAAAAAAGAGGACCAGTTCCTTTGGGTGGCCCTCTGTACAGATTAGTGTTAAGACCCCCGCAAATGACAAAATCTTCAAAACAATCATGTCACTTATATAAAATGGTATGGCATTTGTTTACAACTTACATGTGTGCGCCTACATACTTTAAATCACCTCTCTTGAAGAAAAACCATTTCTAGATGTCTTACAACACCTAATATAATGGAAATGCGATTGTAAAGGGTGTACATGAAGTCTGTCCACATTCGGTACAGATGAACTTGTTTCCTGAATATTTTCAGTGTATAACTGGTTAAATCTTCTGATACAGAACATACAGACGCAGAGGGCCAGCTATACTCATGGTCTTTTGTTGACTTCATCAAGTGCTGATTGTAGACAGAGCCTTTGTCCTTTCTTGGTGAGAAAGGTCATGTCAGGACAGCCCTGAGGAGGCTCAGATTTGATGGGCAAGCTCTTTCTGGTCAGAACTTTGTTCTAGAGTGAAAACTAACCTGGGGCTATTGAGAGACCTAGATTCTAATTTCATTTTGTTATGTATTGGCTCTGATTTTTCTGTATAACAAGCTCCTCATTGTAGATGGGCGTGGTTATAGTTCCTATTATTGGTGAGCTTCCAGTCTGATGAGAGAGATAATAGGAACTATGAAATGAATCAATAAATCTTTGAGGGAATTCTAGAGTCCTGGTCCTTCCCCTTTCTGCTGAGAAGGTACCTTTCCATAAAGTGGATTTCTGGCCCCTCAGATGGTGGAGACAAGGATGCTCGAGACTCTGTGCAAATGCGTTTAGAACAGAGACTTCGTGATGGTCAGGAAGATGGGTCTTTGACCAGCGGCCAGGTGGGCACCTTTGAACGCCACACCAAGGTGAGTAAGCCTTGTGTCCAGCCAGTATGTTTTCCTTCTTTACCACCATTCTTTCTCCTCCCATCCCCATTTCCTCTGCCAAGGTCTCTCTGTGTATCCCAGACTAATTTTGAACTAGCAACCCTTCTTCTGCCTTTGCCTCCTAAGTGCTGAGATTACAGGTATACACCACTGTACCCAGCTTGAACCCCATTTTTTAATCTTGTTCCTTTGCAGGGCATTGGCCGGAGGGTGATGGAGCGCCAAGGCTGGGCTGAGGGTCAGGGCCTGGGCAGCACATGTTCTGGGGTGCCTGAGGCTCTGGATGGTGATGGCCAGCACCCTAGATGCAAGCGTGGACTAGGGTGAGTATGGCTGAGGATTTCCTCTGGGACACTAGCTAGCCTTTAAGCTGTGTCTTCCTGGTTTCCTTCTTCCCATTGGTTTTGGGATGAATGCTCTTAAGGGTAAGCTTCAAAGCAAAATTAGAAGGAAAACATGAATCTGGCACTAACTATTGCTTTTTGTTTTGGACCAAAACAAAAGCCTTAACAGGGTCTCCCAAGAGAGTCATTCACTCAATCTGAGTTTGAACTCAATAACTGTCAGGGAAAATGTAGTGATGGAATGAACATTCTGAGGTCCCTGTTTGTGGTAGATTGTCAATGGACATATCCAGATTTCAAGTTCTACCTTTAGGGGCTTGGGGTGGCTTTCTGGTAGGTGCTGGCCTAATATACAGAAGACCTTAGGTTCGATCTCAGCATCTCATGCAAAAGCAAAACAGAAACCCACAGTTCTGTATTTTAGGACAAATTGGATAGGTAGTAGCTATCTCCCTGCCTTTTCCCAACCTCTTTACTCCAGTTTCCTCTCATTGAAAGCCCTTTTTAAATCCAGATACCATGGAGAGAAGCTCCAACCATTTGGGCAACTGAAGAGGTCTCGTGGAACTGGTTTGGGACTCATTTCCACCATCTATGATGAGCCTCTACCCCAGGACCAGAAGGAGTCGCTGCTGCGCCGCCAGCCACCCACCAGCATGAAGTTTCGGACAGACATGGCCTTTGTGAGGGGTTCCAGTTGTGCCTCGGACAGCCCCTGGGAGCCTGAGTGAGAGTTGAGGGCTTCCTTGGTTAGGACCTTTGGTAGTTGAAGCGTGGGGCCCTTTACCTGGGCCTTCACTTTCAATGAAGCACAAAGGATTCTGGAAGCAGCAATCTGTGCCACTGAAACTTGGTGCTCAGTTCTCTACCTCAAGGACATTAAAAAAGCAAAAACAACCCCCAAAAGTTGTCTCTCCTCTTGGAGATAAGGGTTTGTTTAATGGCTGCTCCTTGGTCTCCTAATTCTAGTTTGTTTGGGCTTGCCCCAGAGCCTGCGAAAGCCGGACTGTCAGAGGTCACAAGCATGACTTCCTTGCAGGCCAGGAAAGCCAGAAAAGGGAAAGGACAAGGAGAGGCTTCGTGCTGGCCTGCAGTCTCCCCCAGCTCACATCGCCTCTCCCCTCACGGCTGGAGACGGGTAGGGCGAGTCCTCGGGTGACGAGGCTTGCAACAGAACGCGAGAATAAAGAATGTCTGCGACTCCACTTTTCTTCCCTTGTGTTCCAAGAGAAGGCTGGAGAATCCAGGAAGGCCCGGCCCGCTCGCGGAGGACGCGCCACCCACGTGGGAGGGCGCGGCGGCGCGGGCCCGCCCCCAGCGATTCGTCACCGCTGTGTAGGCGGGACTTCCTTTCTGGGGCCGCTTCCGCCGGCACCCGGAAGTCAGGAGCGTGTTTCCGTGCCGGGCGGTTGGGGGCAGCCGCTCTCAGGTAACCCCGGGACGCCGCGGTCTGCTCCCAGTGAAGCACCAGACGAGGGCACGCCGCCCGCCGCGTGGCTCGGACGCGGCAGTCTGTTTTGCTTCCCCACTGGGCCCCGTTCCTCCATGGCGGGGGCTGCTCCGGCCGCCGCCTTCGGGCAGGCGGTGATCGGCCCGCCGGGCTCGGGGAAGACCACGTATTGCTTGGGCATGAGCGAGTTCTTGCGCGCGCTGGGCCGGCGCGTGGCAGTGGTGAACCTGGATCCGGCCAACGAGGGGCTGCCGTACGAGTGCGCCGTGGACGTGGGCGAGCTGGTGGCCCTGGGCGACGTGATGGACGCGCTGCGCCTGGGACCCAATGGCGGCCTGCTGTACTGCATGGAGTACCTGGAAGCTAACCTGGACTGGCTGCGCGCCAAGCTCGAACCCCTCCGTGGCCACTACTTGCTCTTCGACTGCCCAGGCCAGGTGGAACTCTGCACTCACCATGGCGCTCTGCGCAACATCTTCTCCCAGATGGCTCAGTGGGACCTCAGGGTGCGTCTTGGGTCGGGGCAGGCCCAGGCCCATTTTGTAGAGGGAGCAACTGAGACAGGAAGGAGAACAGAGGCCACGTCCCCGTGTCACACGAGGCAATAGGGGTTGCCTTGATTTGGAATAAGTTGAGGTCGAATTTTACCTCTGCTGCTGCTCGCTATGTGATTTGCGTAAGACACCTCTTTGAACCTTAGTGTTTTCCCATCTGTAAAATGGACACTCGTGTCTTTCAGGATCTTTGGAAGGATTATGTGGAAGGTGTCTCTGGTAGATTTTTAAGTTGATGGGCAAAAGCAAAAGAAAGAATGAAGGTAGCCAGGGCATGAGGGTGCATACCTGTAATCTCATCATTCGGGAAGCTAAGGCAAGAAAATTGTAAGTTGGAAGCCAACCTGTCCTACATAGCAAGACCCTGTCCCAAAATAAAAGAATGGAGACAGATGAAACAGTGGAAGCAGAATTTGAACCTGCTGCCCACTGGGAGGTTCTGCTCAAGGTGTCTTGTAAGAAAACGTGTTTCCCGTATCTCCTAGAGGAAAGACATGAGCACAGCCATTAGAACAAAATAGAGAACAGAACAAAGCAAGCAGACATGATTAGGGAAGGCTTTCACTTGGTCCTGCAGCTCCCATCTGATGAGGGAGACAGTCCCAGAGGTTCCCTGCATGCCCCAACCCAAGTCACATTTGCCCTGTCTTTTCCCCTCCCAGCTGACAGCTGTCCACCTTGTGGATTCTCACTACTGCACAGACCCAGCCAAGTTCATTTCAGTACTGTGCACCTCCCTGGCCACCATGCTGCATGTGGAACTGCCACATGTCAACCTCCTCTCCAAGATGGACCTCATTGAACACTATGGGAAGCTGGGTAAGAGCTTGAAGTTCAGGCATGAAGGAGCAGGGCAGGACCTGGGCTGGCATGAAGCTCAGATCTCAGCTGAAGCTGCCTTTGGGACAATGCGTGGTCTGGTGAGAATAGCCAAAATAGGTCCTGCCTGTTGCTCTTTGACTTTGTGCTGGATATTATTGCAGAATTCGGAGAAGAGAGCTACAGGTGGTCATATGTGTTATAGAAGCAGTTAAAACAAAGTGATAGGAGTTTGGCTTACACCTGTAATCCTAACTACTCAGAAGGCCAAGATCTGAGGATTAAGGTTTGCTGCTCAAGCAGCAAAGTCTGTGCGACTCTTATCTCCAATTAACCAGCAGCAATGGAGATGTGGCTCAAGTAAAATGCCAGCCTTGAGTGAAAAGGCTTGAGTTGAAGCCCCCAGTACAGGCACCACAGTAAAGTGATAGAAAGGACAATGAGTGATTGGGAAGAAATGAAATGAAGTGTGGTGAGTTAGCACTGTGCTAACTCACAGCACTGTTCTGTGAAGCATGGCACCTGAACTGATCCAGAGTGGTGAAATAGTGCCAGCTGAGGGGGGACTCTTCTAGACAGAGGGCCTAGTAGGAGTAAAAATCTTTGTTGTTGTTGTTTAGTTGTTGTTTGGCCAGTCCTGGGGCTTGAACTCAGGTCCTAAGCACTGTCCCTGAGCTTTAGCTCAAGGCTAGCCCTCTACCACTTGAGATACAGCACCACTTCTGGCCTTTTCTGTTTTATGTAGTACTGAGGAATCGAACCCAGGGCTTCATGCATGCTAGGCAAGCACTCTACCACTAAGCCACATTCACAGCCCCAAAGCTTTGTTTTATTTCTCGCAATTTTGGTGACTGGGAAGTCTGGGGAGGGCCTGCTCTTGACTTGTAGAAAGCCAGCCTCCTTATAGTTGTAACATCAAGTGGCAGAGATACCCGAGGGAGAGAGGATAAGCATAATGTGGAGGAAATGGAAAAGCAGGCTAGCAAGAAGCAGAGGTGTCCTGTGAGGTCCCAGTGTCCACATTTCTTTTCTTTTTTTTTGTCGGTCGTGGGACTTGAACTCTGGGCTTGGGCGCTATCCCTGCACTCTTCAGCTCAAGGCGAGTGCTCTACTGCTTGAGCCACAGCGCCACTTCTGGTTTTCTGGTGGTTCATTGGAGATCAGAGTCTTACAGCTTTTCCTGTCCTGGCTGGCTTTGAACCGTGATCCTCACATCTCAGCCTCCTGAGTAGCTAGGATTACAGGTGTGAGCCACCGGCACCCAGTTTAGTACTTACATTTTCTTCTTTTCCTTTGTCTTTTTTTTTTTTTTTGCCAGTCCTGGGGCTTAAACTCTGGGCCTGGGTGCTGTCCCTGAGTTTCTTTTGCTCAAGTCTAGCACTCTACCATATGAGCCACAGTGCCACTTCCAGCTTTTTTTCTGTTTATGTGGGTACTGAGGATGGAACCCAGAGCTTCATGCATGCTAGGCAAGCACTCTACTGCTAACTAAGCCACATTCCCAGCCCTTCCTTTTTCTTTATTCACTCAAATATTCCTTGCTACAGTGACAAGTTACTAAGAACAATCCTTGGGTTTCACCAGCTGGCTCTGCCACTCACAGTCAGCTGTGGAGACCTCTACTTCATGGAAGTATTTAAAGATTCAGAAGGAAAGCAGATCTCCTTAATTGTCTATTTCTGCCCAGAAATCTCAAGCACTGAGGTGAACTAAGGGACTCTGGGCCAAAGAGGGTCTTCTAAGGTGCTGATATCCCTCCATCTCCTGACTTGTAGCTAGCTGATGGGCTCCATCCTTACCACAACACCAATGCCATGCTACTTGCCCAACAACATCCCTTCCTGCTCATATGATAGTCATTTCGCCATTCTTTAGGTTTCTTTATGGCTTCAGATTCAAGGAACCAATGCCTCCAGCACAGCAGAGCAGTAATTTGGTAAGAAAAGAAATGTGGAAGCCATGCGCCGGTGGCTCACACCTGTAATCCTAGCTACTCAGGAGGCTGAGATCTGAGGATCGCGGTTCAAAGCCAGCCCGGGCAGGAACATCCGTGAGACTCTTATCTCCAACAAACAAATCAAATCTCAAACAAAACAAATCTCCGGAAGTGGTGTTGTGGCTCAAGTGGTAGAGTGCTCACCTTGAGCTGAAGAGCTGAGGACAGTGCCCAGACCCAGAGTTCAAACTCCACATCTGACAAAAAAGAAAAAGAAAAGAAAAAATGTCCTAGGGCCTCATATAAAGCCAGACCCACAGTCTCTCTAGTCTCAGCTCCTCTTTAGTCCTCAGCCTAAGGCAAGTTGCTCCTGAATCCTGGCTTTTCTCCTAGCCTTCAACCTTGACTACTACACGGAGGTCTTGGACCTTTCCTACCTGCTTGACCACCTGGCTTCTGACCCTTTCTTCAGCCACTACTGTCAGCTCAACGAGAAACTGGTGCAGCTTATTGAAGACTACAGCCTGGTCTCTTTTATCCCTCTCAACATCCAGGTATTGGGTACTGAGGTCACTAGCCAAGCGCATAGAACGATGTGAGGGCTAAAACAATGGTCTTTATCCTGGGTGTGTTTTGGGGCCCCTTGCTTTTAGAACCAGGGGCTGTGGTGGGCACAACAGTAGTGACGTAGGTGGAACAAACTTCTGCCTTGTCAGTTCTTCCTACATGTGTTCCTGGAGTGAAAATGAGTTGAGTCAACAAAGTCATCAGCCAGCAACCTCAAGACCAGAAACGGCCCATTTACATACATGTGGTTTTTGGTGACTTTGCAAAATCGTACCTAACTCCTATCCTTCTCAACTTGCCCTTGTAAAGCTAATCTAAGAGACACAGGTATATGTTAGATATGTTTCTGTAGGAAGTAGGCTTCAACTAATTCCCTATTCTGTGTGTTCGTGTGTGTGTGTGTGTGCGCGCGCACGCATGTGTGCGTGTGTGTGCGTGTGCACGCACCAGTCCTGGGGCTTGAACTCAGAGCCTAGGTGCTGTCCCTGAGTTCCACCCCTCTCCCCAAGGCTAGTGCTCTACTATTTGAACCACAGTTCTGCTGCTTTTTTTTTTTTTTTGGTAGTTAATTGAAAATAAGAGTGTCATGAACTTTCCACTCAGGTTGGATTTGAACAATGATCC